GGGGGACAAGAAAGCGGGGGGGGGGGGGGGGCCCCCCCCCCCCCCCCCCCGACCCCAGCTCTATATCCGCCACTGACCACACTGTCTTTATGTACATGCATGTCCCAGACCGCATGTATTTTCCTTACTCCCTAGGCTCTACCGGGGCCACATATTGACACTTTACTACCCTAGGTTCTAGATTGCGGTGTTGCCAGCTCCATCTGGATTTCATATATAACCCACAAGCTAACACATGAAAAGGTATAGTGAGCAAGCTATCTTTATAGTGCCCTGACACTCAGGGTACATTTCACTGGATTTTCACAGATATCTCTCTGGTTAAAATGATGGCACTTTTCAACACTGTTTGAGAAAAGTGCACATAATTAATCTGAGGCCCTGGTACACATGCAGTAGAGAATTGTTTCATACTTTAGCCAGAGAAATACCTGTAATTATATAGCGAAGAATCAATCTGTGGACCTAGTAGAGGGTAGCTTTTCAGTAAGTTTAAAGACAGTAATATGGTTTTGTCTTTATGGTGTTAATGTATGGGTAGATGACTGACATTGGTGGCAAAGAAAAAAAAAGTATATATATATATATATATATATATATTTATAATTTCTTAACTATCATTCCTTAATTGATTCTGGCACATAAGGTAACTGGAGTATGTAATGGCTTTGATGTATAACACTTTGATATATGATAAACTGATGGATGCACTGTAATATTTTGAGATGAACAATATATAATTTTTTTTAAATACAATTTTTGTTCAACCAGTAGGTATGTGCAAGGAATTCCAACTCCTTGATATGTGTCAGACTTATTTCTACTAATAACAACTTCCAAAAAATAATACTTTGTTTAGAAATATTTTTGAAAGTTGAAAACGCAAATTTGAGAGATATGTTAGATGGTATAATATTTTGATGACAACAGACATATTTAGTGTAGATCCGACTGTTTATACAGCAGCATATGTAGTGAGTGTAGTGGGTGTCTGTTGTCAATAAATGAACTCATAGTCTTACAGGTAGATGGTGAAGGCACTCTGTAATGGTAGATATTTGCAATTTTCAGTAATGAGGAACTTTGTAATATTGAGGCTTTACTGTTTTTTTTTTTAAGTAAACTTAAAAGTCTGGTATAACTTACAGAATTTTCAGTTAAAATAATTCCAGAATTGTGTCCTTGGGAGCAAAATAAATTTATATAAATAAAATATACAAATAAAAAATCTCAATTATAATAGTAAGTGAAATAAATAAATGAAAAATAAAAAGGAGTCAAATTTTGAAACTTCCATGTCAGCACTTTTGCCTGGGTTGAGTTATACCAGTGCATGCCATAAATTTTCAGCTCACTGGTCATTGGGACCACCACTTTCCTATAAATGTAATGGATCTAATCAGGATTTACTGGTTGGAATAAAAAATTAAGTAATAGTGGACATTTTCCCTTATATCATAAATATTAGTAATTATGAGTGATATTTTCTAATGCTTTTTCTTAATTTAGAATAATCTTGTTACTGTAGCAGTAACAGTTACATTTTTAAAGAAAATCATGGAAAATTAATCAAATTGAAAAGTTCAGCTCTTCTGATAACTCTGAGAAAAAACAAATGGTAGTGCCAGACCACCTAATTTACACTTTCTGTAAAATCAACTGGTCCATACAATTTTACTGACCGTGGGCATCAGACTAGTGGTTAACGTATGCCGCAGACTGATTATACCCAACAAATTATTGCTTGACCAGGAAATATGCATAAGTACATATGCAACTGTCACAATTACACTTAAGTTTTGTTTTTCAAAGAGATCTGAGAACTTAATTTTCTGAAAATTTGAAATTGGCTTGCAGTGGTGAAATTATGTCTATTTTCAGAACTGGGGGTCAGCAGGAGTGTGATCCCTCTCACCATATGAAAACAACAACACTCACAAATTAAATCAATGTCATTATATTTATTTACAGCCCTCTCACCATATAAAAGCAATAACATTCACGAATTAAATCAGTTATTATTCTAATTAATAATCAGAAAAACAAAAACATATAGAGGCTTGAATCAAGTACATCTGTTGAGTCTTCTTAACTACGCCTCCGGAAACAAGAAGTCAATCTGGAGAGGAAGCGCCGAAATCGTCCAAAACGTTTGTATTTCTTTGGTGCTGGAATGAAAATAAAATTGCACGTAATAAAAAAAAAGGGGGGGGGGGGCAAAAAGGAGTTAAACTTTAAGAGAAACATTTGGCTTTTATAGCTTTATCTTATAGTATGTGGCAAACAAAATACAAATGTATTTTTTGTTTTCAACTGAAACCTTATCTTAAGAATATGATTTTTAATTTATTGAAATATAAAAAGAATGATACATTTTTATAACGATAGCCAGCCTCAATGGCTGGACAAAGAGGGTCCCTCAATGACGCCAAGGTACAATAGTACTAGAATTTGCAATGACAAAAATAAAATACTTGATAGTAATGCCTGCTTAGGATTTAACATATAGGTGCATCTTATATAACCACCACCACCACCATATATAAATCCCTTTTATTTACACCTACCACCCTCACTCCCACTCTCAATCTCCCCCTGGAAGATACTGGTGATATTGTTGTTGTCATCTACTGAAAATGACAATTTGGTTACTTTTCTTTCCTTATTAGTGGTATAGCATTGTGTTTGTATACTAGTATATAATTCTAATATTTACTGTCAGACACAATGAATTTGGCCAACTTTTTTCTTTCAAAGCTTTGTTTCACTCAAATAGTTAGAGAAAATAATAAAAAAAGTGTGCAAAGATTTTCTTCATCAGAAACGTGTGGCACAAATGAATTTTCTAACCAAACATGCTGAAAACTTTTCAGAATGGCTGGACATTTGGACCGGCAGTAATGAAAAATTTGTTGGGCCGAATGGGTTTTTGTCAGACCGAAAATCACCCTATTCGTTTGAGACATATAAGACTAGGGGAGCTTACTTTGTTTGTAAATGTGATAGGTTTGAAATGGAAGGGACAAACGCTTTGGGTTTTATATAATTTTATTAGTGAAGTATGTAGAATGATGACTGTAAATTCAAAATTGCAGCTTTTAAAACTCTTGTTGGTCCTTTGGACCGACCAAATCCAAATTTTTACTGGTCCAGACAAATTTTCTCGGTCATGACCGAACGGATCGACAGTTTCAGCATGTCTGCTAACTCCAGCATATGTAACATCATAAGATTTTTTTCCTACAATATTTTTACACTCCTTTACTTACACGAATCTGTGTTTGTCCCCCTTTCATTGCAATTCTCTGAAATAAGAAATTAAATGTATCAGATCAGAAGTGAGGGTATAAAATGTGTCAGATTTGAAGCTGAGGGTATAAAATAACTGAAGCTAATGCCTGCTTAGGATTTATCATATACATGTAGATACCTCTTATATAACCACCACCACCACTACCCTAAATCCCCTTTATTTACACCTACCGCCCTCACTCCCACTCTCCCCTTGGACGATATTGGTGATATTGTTCTTGTCATCAACTGAAAATAACAGTTTGATTAATTGTCCTTCCTCACTAGTGGTAAGGCAAGGGTTTGTATATTCTAATTTTTACTGTCAGACACACTGAATTTTGCCAACTTCTTTCTTTCAAAGCTTTGTTTCAAACAAATAGTTTGAGAAAAAAGGATACAAATATTTTCTTCATTAGAAACTTGTGGCACAAATAAATTATCTAACTCCAGCAAATGTTACATCATCAGATTTTTTCCTACAAATTTTTACACTCCTTTACTTACACAAATCAGTCTTTGTCACCCTTTCATTGCAATCTTCTGAAACAAGAAATTAAATGTATGAGATCTACTAGTATGTTCAGTATAGCAAAATTTACTTACATAAACCAGTGTGATCCTTGATGTCAGTGCCCTCTGAAAACATTTCTTTTCTGTTGATTCAAATTATATCATGATTACATATTTAATAAGTTAATGTTTTTTTGTTTGTTTTTTTTGTTGTTTTTTTTTGCTAGAAAATATATCAAGTAGATAAACCTGCCAGTTATCATTCATGTTGGTTACATATAAAATAGTTCCGTACCAATAGGAGGATCAGGAATTAATTCCTCATCCAATTCTGGAATGAAATAAGTTACACTTTCATGAAATGTATTTAAGTACAACATTCATATTCATAAATAAAGGAAAAATGTTATGTAAATTCTCAATTTGTCAAAAATGTAAATTCTCAATTTGTCAAAAATGTAAAATTTAATGTGATTTTAGAACCCAGATCAGTTGAAATGTCGATATTGAGCAAAGGCCTTTCCCAAACTTGAGTGTTCGAGGACAGTGGAAGCTCATCTCCCTATTATCAGCTTGCTTTTCCCATTTAAGATACTTGATAGTCAGTGACTCTTCCCATCTTCTCAGGAATAAGACTTCTTTGTGCAACATCAGTGATCAGTCCCACCCCCTTACTTTGTTAAAGATGAGCCCATTGCAGGCATTTCAACCAACTATTTACAAATTTCTTTTTATCTGTATATTTGATTTTATTTGATGATGATTGATCATGTTATATAATCATGAAAAGAAGCAATAATAACATGACTGCTATCTCCATAATGATATACCAGTAGGTCTCTTAAAAGTCAATGTATGTGAAACACAGCATGCAGAGCTAGAATAAAGCTAATTTACTTTTAATAAATTAAAAAAAAATCACACAGTTGATGATTTACCTCCAAGATTACTTACCTTCAATCTTCATATTTGTGTCACCCCATTTGCAAATGATTTTCATATTGTTTGAGGTGACATGAATGTGCCTGTTAATGAAAGGCCTTGGCTCCCATTCATATCCAGTGTCAGGGCAGTTAATCTGGATAACAAAAAAGTTAATCTGGATAACAATACAGCTGATGAATAAAAAAAAAACAAGATAAACATTTGAAATATTATAAAGTACATAACATATTACGTAACTGAAGACTCCTTCGTGAGAAAATTCCTTTGCTTACATAAAAAGCATAACATCACCCATGCTACTGTATATGTTACTAAAGTAATTACAGTAAGTTTCTTCAAGAATTATTTTGAGTTTCAACATCTGTGTAAGTAATGCTTGTGTTCTACTGCATTGAAAAAAAAAAAAAAAAAAAAAAATATATATATATATATATATATATATATATATATATATATATATATATATATATATATTTCTTTTTTTAAAGATTTTCATGTATTTTTCGTAATCAAGGAGCAATTAAGGCATCAATTTTGAAAACAGAAAGCAATAAAGAAAAAAGACTGACAGAGAGACACCACATGAAGCTATAATATATTTGTCTGATAAAACCAGAATAATTTCTATTTTTTGTACAATTATTAAACTCAATATATTGTACTTACGTCAGATTGCCTGACAAATTTAAACTCCTGTCTTGATTCCCTTTTCAAATTGAGAACTGCAGTTTGTGGGTGGCCAGGGCCCCCCTGCAGTTTTATGCCATCCTCTGGGCACCAGCTGCCCAGTTGAGGGCAACTGCCCACAACTTTTGCCGGCAAAATATTATCCACTAAAACAATGTGGACTTTTGCCATATCTGGTTAAAGAAAATAATAATAAAATAAAAAATGGAATGAATAATATAACTTCGTTGGCACATCTGTTCATTGGCACAGATATACATGAAAGAGTATGAATATGTACAGTAGTACAAAAAATGTAGCACTCTATAATAATATTACTCTGAAGCTGGTCAATGAGTATATGGGACTATTTTAATAATTATAATAGCTATGCTGATAGTTATGGTTTATTGCACTCTCTTTGCAATATTCACATGTACAGTGTACTTCTACAACCTATATTGAATGCAATGGATCAGTATGAATTTAAAATGACGACAGGCTCAATAACATTAATCAAAACTTGAAAATGAATATGAAAGAAAAATATATGTATTTTAATAGAATAAGGTATTCATCATTCTTTTAAAATCTAAAAAGTTCATCGGAAGACATGTCACTGAAACTTATACTCAGTATAAGCATGCAGTATAGTATGAAATTGTTTCTATACAGATCGATACATGTGGGGAGTGCTAACGCATGGATTTTCGTGCTAATACTTTTATGCATTGTGTATCCTGTTATTACATGTATCTGTTATTGAACCTCAATTATCTACAGTACATATATATGTGTGTAGAATGGACGTCACTGCTTGTGACAATACGATACTACCAGTAGACTGAAACATTACTGAAACATGATTCATACATTATCGGACTGGTGCACTTAACATGCTACAAACGGTTATAGTATGCATGCACTGTTTACAGTGTTACCTTTGCATTTTGGCTCATCCTGTTGAATACACGAATTTGTAGATTTGTTCTCCGTCGCCATCTACAAAAAAGTTCCATCTTTAGCACTCTTTATTTCCAGTTTTGATAAAGGAAATGTAACTTGCTTAGATCTACCCTGATGAATTTTTTTTATCAAAAACATCTCCGGATCCGTGAATACAAGGCAAGAATTGCCATCCTATTTGGACTTACTTTTCTAAATTATTGCGTGTTCAAGAATTGTGATCAGTGCATGTTAATTAAAATATCAAATACAAAGTAAATACAAAATATATGGATAAACTTCACTTGTTTCTTGATTTTTTTGTTCTATAAGAGGTCTGCAATAGAAGATATCTAGTAAAGAATGCAACTTACAGCGCTGAATGAATCAGATTCACCCATCTCAAAATCAATCGAGATATGTTTACCTAATTTGCATATACGCATAGTAAAATAATTTAAGAAATTTGATTGGGCAGCACTTTATTGTTCTCAAAACTTTCAACCAATCAAATTTTCTGTTTTTTAAAGACGTTAGGTCATTTATACGATTGTGATCATATCCTTCTACTCAGAATTGAATCTTTGTTTAATGATATTTTGATTATTGAATCTTCTACAAACTGCATGGTTATTTCCTTAACATTTACATGAGCTACGAAGTTTGTCTCATGGGAAAATCACCCAGCAGCTTCCAAGAGTGACGTCACGACGCACTTCCGGTTTTCGTCGAGTCTCGAAGAAAGTTTTGTACCAAATTTGAGGCGTTTTATTCAAAATCTACGCAATGGTTTGAATTAAAATTTGTATTGGTACAAAAATTCTTTAAATTACACTGCACCTACTTGTGCAAAATTTAAGAGCTTTAAATTTCATGGTTTTTATACGCGTTCAAATATAAAATTTAGCCAGTTTTCGTTGATCTTGTAAAAGACGACTCTATTACTGATCATAGAAATTGACTATAGAAACTTGAAGTACTATTGTACGTGAGCCATAACAGCAAAAAATTATTTAACTTTTAAAGTTCTTTCGTCAGCAGTGTTTTGAAATGAGTATTAATAATTATCTTTGTCATTAAAATATTAACAAAAACACATACCTAACAATTGACATAAAATGTAGCATTCTTATAAAAATTTGGTGACGTTAACGATTTGAGCATTCAGCAGTTTACAACCCCCCCCCCGCCGTTCCATGTTTTTATAAAGCACCAAATTATGCGTACCACACTGGTATTTAATGATTTTGTCTATTATAAATATATTTGTTACACTGACAATATATTTGTTATATCCGTAGCATTTTATTCTGAAATATTCTACCACGTTGATTGTAAAATGGGGCTCGGTGTGTGCAATGATATAGGCTGTAACGAAAAATATTATCTGCATCAGGTGCATTTTGTGCATTACCTCAGGTGCACTAAATATTAGCACTTGACAGTTCTGTGCCAGGTTTTCTTCTTCATGGCGCGCAGCACGTGCTTAGGTGAATCTAATATAGGCCTACCGTTAATTGTAGGCTGAAGCACCCGAAAGCCAGACTCCGCGCGTCAAGGTTGGTAAAAAGTTGATGCGAAAATATGAAGTCGTGCTCAACCAATCCTAAAGGGAAAAGTTGTCTAACGACATAGTTGATGTAAGCATGATTCGCGCATCAAGGTTAAGAATAACAGAACCGATCTGTGAGGGATAAACGAGGCATGCGTCCGCAAGCAACAACTACCAGTTTTCATTTGTGAAAACATCATTGTTTTACCTTGACGCCTACGCGTTTAATTTTTTTTTTGGCTGCACTGTCTCGTTTCCACGGCGACCATTCATAAAAAGAGGGCGTTGTTAGGAATTAAACGATGTTTCTGATCGTCTTATCCGAACGCAAAGCGTTGTCGCGTTAACTCATTCGGTATCTGTACATGTACATTGTATGACAAAGGTGTCTGGTCATAGATCTTGTGAATTGGCCCTATCACTTTTAAATAATCGCACCCATCAATTTATCATGCAGGTAATAAGGCAGTGTTGGGCATGTATAATTTTCCTTTATATTTAAGTGTGCATAGTGTGTTGTAGAGATTATTTCATTTTTGTTTCTAGGTTAAACAGGGTCTTACAAAAGGCTTGCCTATCGTCCACCATGATGGTTATGTCTGTGACCACCCAGTGAAGCACAGGTTTGCAATGAGAAAGTTCCAAACCGTATTCAGACATCTCAGAAGCGACAGTGTAATCTCAGTCAAGCAGGTTGTGCATCCGGACATGGTCGGAGAGGACACATTGGCTGGGGTTCATAAGCCAGAGTACATACAGGATTTTTTCAATGGCACTACCTCTGCGGCTGCCCAGAGGAAGACAGGGTTCAAATGGAGTGAGGGTCTGGTAAAAAGGTGCAGGTTTGAAACAGGTACAGTACTACACTGTTTAGAACTCCTTCTTAGACTCAAGATTTTGATTAAAGTGGGAGGGGTGATGTTTCCATTCAAATGTGTATTTTAAGATAACCTTGGGGATGGGCACAAATCTCTTTCATCTCCCGTATTGCATGTAGCTGGTGAATGTAATGTACATTATCACAAGTAAGAAGCTCCTTTATGTGGTAGCATTTACTCTATTTATTTGAAGACAAACTCTTCATGTGCAGACATAATAGACTAAAAATGTATTATCCAACACTTTTGGTATGTACTTTGGTCCGTGAGGCATGATAAGTTTAGACTTGAATAGAGGATGGTAGCACCTTTAAACTTACATTTTTTTTTTTTTTTTTGAATTGTCCAATTTTTCATTTTGTGTCTGTATACTTGTCAGCTTTTCTGTCATAGCCATTATCATTACCCTCAGAATTTATACGATTTCTCACATTTATCTAGGGGGCACCATAACAGGCGCAAGACTTGCTCTGGAAGTGGGGATGGCTTCAAGCACAGCAGGGGGGACCCATCATGCTTTTCCAGACTACGGCTCAGGCTTCTGTCTGATCAATGACATGGCAGTGGCTACAGACTTTGTGCTGAGGCAAGGGCTGGCAGAGAAAGTATTGATCGTTGACCTGGATGTTCACCAGGGCGATGGAACTGCCTACATATTTAGAGAAAATGACTGTGTTTTTACATTCTCCATGCATGGTGTGAATAATTTTCCAGTTAGGAAACAGCAGAGTGATTTGGATGTAGAACTTCCAGATAAAACAGGGGTAAATATCTATCAAAAGTGAAGCATCAAAGATATGCACAGAGACCAAGAATTTCTTTTCTTACTTCAAAATCACATGTCATTATATATCGGCTGAACATATTATTATTATTGTTATTATCATTACTGCAGATATTATTATTATTATTGACACTTTGGTTATTGTCTGACTTATTACAGTGAAAATGATGTGTCAACCTGACTCTGGGGTCACACTGCTTTACGTATGCAGTTTTGAGCAACTTGCTCTAAAGATATTTACTTTCCAAATCATACCATATTACAACAGTACCTAGTGTTTTTGATGTTAAGTATTTTTATTATATACATTTATAAATGTATAAATACATTTTAAAGCACCTGTAGTACAGATTAAATTTGCTCTGATTTCTTTCAGGATAAATCATATATGGAGAGGTTACAGGAGTTATTACCCCATTTAGTGAAGTCTTTCCGTCCAGATCTTGTGGTCTACGACGCAGGGGTTGATCCTCATGAAAAAGATGAATTGGGAAGACTTTGTCTCACTGATCAAGGTACAACATTTTCTATCATATGTCAATTTTAGTTAGCCAGTTTTTTTCTTTCTTTCTTTTTGTAATCTACACTGATCACTCTTATATAATTGGCCGCCGAACCTTTTTTTAGTTGTATATGATTTCATTATTTGCAAAATGATTGCTGATTTTGTGTGGGGTGGGGAGTAAAAGCAATTAGCAAAATTTAATGATCGGATTCGACTTAATGTTCAACATTATGAAAAAACTGTTATATACAGGATTTCATTCTTTGCAAATTGATAAATGAATTATTTGGGAGTGCGTGTTGGGGGTGGGGATAAGCAATTAGCAAGAGTTCAGTTGAGAATCAAACAGCTTCTGTTTAGAGATTGCTCTTACCATTTTTGAACTTGGCTTTATGTTTAACATTGTAAAAAATGTTCTATTCTGTAAAAGTTTTATACAAATAGTGTTGTATATCGTTTTAATTAAAATTACTGTAAAATCATGTTTGATCACATACTTGAAGTTAAACATAATTTAGAGTACTTGTCTGATGATATACATGATTGAAGTCTCTTCTATAAATTCAGGGCTTTTTGATAGAGATTATTATGTTCTGAAGTACCTGTCCTCCCAAGGGTGCCCATGTGTGACTGTGATAGGAGGAGGTTACGCACAAGATGTTGATTTACTTGGACTCAGGCATACTATTATACACAGAGCAGCTACCAAGGTAATTCTTTAATGCATACATTACATATAGATTTTTTAATGAGTTTTTGAAGATAATTATGAACTTGAATAAGGGGTATGCTCAAGATTAAGATTTGTGGGGGTTCTGGCATCCTGGGATATTCAAAGCAGCAATCTTAGTTACTGTTATAATATGGGGGTTTATGAGATAAAGTTTAATATAAAATTAAACTGATGGGGATGGTTAGGGTGAAGATGTTAGGGTGGTTGGCACTTGGGGGGGGGGGGGTGCACATAGGATGTATATAACTCGTATTACTCATTACAGGCAGTTTTCACACCTGTTTGTCACTTTGTTAGTATGTTCTTCACCAGCCTAATCAGAAAGTTATATTTGGCTTTCAATCAAATTTTTAGGAAAGGTCAGGAATGGGATAACCTAAAAGTATCAGAATTTGATGGTGATATGGATTACCATATCAGGATCTAGTTTTTTTTTAAAGATTCTTTGCCATCATGAGATAGAGCCAGTTTGGTCATTTTTGCTTATAACTCCACAAATTATGTTGTTTAGTACTAAGAGTTTTTTTTTATTTTCTTTTCTTGCAGGTATGGCAGGAAATGAAGGGCTGTTCAATATAATGGTGGTATTACCTGCTTAACAGTATTAATTATACAAAAGAGTTTATTTTATGTTGTTTTTAACAGCTTATATTTTGAAAATTCAGTAAGAAATCATGGTGATTTATTCTTGATTAAGTTGTATGGTTTTATGAGTATATTAAACAAGACAGTTAATTTCTAGTACTTTGCATTGTATTAAGAGCATATGATTTGATTTAGGATGAAGACAGTGGGTGCCTTAGGTATTCATATCATTATTTTATTACATAACAGCTATGTAAGGAGATATAATGCAATATAACTTGATGTTCACTACACATACACGCTTAGATAGCGCGGTTCATAAGCCCCCTTTGGCATCAACAAAAATTTGTCTCGAGTTCTTGCCAAAAACATCCCAATTTACAAATTTTCCACTTTGACAATACACCCTAGCACCTGAAACAATTGTAGTTTGAAAATGAAGCTGTTATTATGAAATCCCAGGCACATTCTCAAAGACAAAGCTTACATCTAACAAATAAATTCTTTCATGGGTTGGAGGTCCTAATTAGTTTTTGACAGTGGTGTAAATTTTTCTCTGAGAAAAACAAATTTAGCTATAACAAAACTATAACAAAACTATAATGCAGTAATATAATAATGATATGAAATTAATTGAAATAAACTTTTTATTGATATGCATCCTGATGGTATATCTTGTTCCATTAATAAGATAACCCCCATCTTCATCTCTTTATATTAAAATATGAACTTTTCATTTTCATATTTAATGATATTTCACACAATATTTTGAAATATTATATTATATTATATGTTTTTGGCATGTATGTATTTGATGCCAAATTATTTGCATTCAATAAAAAAAATTAAAAGGACTAAAAGTTTTTGTAATTCTGTAAGTGAAGCAAAAATTGTATAATTGCAGATAGAAAGTTTATTACTAGAATACTGGCAGATTGCACACTTCAAGTTTCTACATTATCACATTATCTTACATAGAATAGATAGTCTTGGTTTTTATACATTTGTCATTGATTATATAGAAACAATAAGGTTTTCAAATTCATCAGTATTTACATGGGTGAAAGTTTTCAGGATTATGCCTGGCTGATTTCAGTCTTCATGTTGGTTTGGTCTAAATGCAGTGAGAAATTGCAACTATGTTTTCAGGATTTTCTGTTTTTACAACTTTCACCCATGTATTTTCAGCACAATATNGGGGGGGGGGGGGTGCACATAGGATGTATATAACTCGTATTACTCATTACAGGCAGTTTTCACACCTGTTTGTCACTTTGTTAGTATGTTCTTCACCAGCCTAATCAGAAAGTTATATTTGGCTTTCAATCAAATTTTTAGGAAAGGTCAGGAATGGGATAACCTAAAAGTATCAGAATTTGATGGTGATATGGATTACCATATCAGGATCTAGTTTTTTTTTAAAGATTCTTTGCCATCATGAGATAGAGCCAGTTTGGTCATTTTTGCTTATAACTCCACAAATTATGTTGTTTAGTACTAAGAGTTTTTTTTTATTTTCTTTTCTTGCAGGTATGGCAGGAAATGAAGGGCTGTTCAATATAATGGTGGTATTACCTGCTTAACAGTATTAATTATACAAAAGAGTTTATTTTATGTTGTTTTTAACAGCTTATATTTTGAAAATTCAGTAAGAAATCATGGTGATTTATTCTTGATTAAGTTGTATGGTTTTATGAGTATATTAAACAAGACAGTTAATTTCTAGTACTTTGCATTGTATTAAGAGCATATGATTTGATTTAGGATGAAGACAGTGGGTGCCTTAGGTATTCATATCATTATTTTATTACATAACAGCTATGTAAGGAGATATAATGCAATATAACTTGATGTTCACTACACATACACGCTTAGATAGCGCGGTTCATAAGCCCCCTTTGGCATCAACAAAAATTTGTCTCGAGTTCTTGCCAAAAACATCCCAATTTACAAATTTTCCACTTTGACAATACACCCTAGCACCTGAAACAATTGTAGTTTGAAAATGAAGCTGTTATTATGAAATCCCAGGCACATTCTCAAAGACAAAGCTTACATCTAACAAATAAATTCTTTCATGGGTTGGAGGTCCTAATTAGTTTTTGACAGTGGTGTAAATTTTTCTCTGAGAAAAACAAATTTAGCTATAACAAAACTATAACAAAACTATAATGCAGTAATATAATAATGATATGAAATTAATTGAAATAAACTTTTTATTGATATGCATCCTGATGGTATATCTTGTTCCATTAATAAGATAACCCCCATCTTCATCTCTTTATATTAAAATATGAACTTTTCATTTTCATATTTAATGATATTTCACACAATATTTTGAAATATTATATTATATTATATGTTTTTGGCATGTATGTATTTGATGCCAAATTATTTGCATTCAATAAAAAAAATTAAAAGGACTAAAAGTTTTTGTAATTCTGTAAGTGAAGCAAAAATTGTATAATTGCAGATAGAAAGTTTATTACTAGAATACTGGCAGATTGCACACTTCAAGTTTCTACATTATCACATTATCTTACATAGAATAGATAGTCTTGGTTTTTATACATTTGTCATTGATTATATAGAAACAATAAGGTTTTCAAATTCATCAGTATTTACATGGGTGAAAGTTTTCAGGATTATGCCTGGCTGATTTCAGTCTTCATGTTGGTTTGGTCTAAATGCAGTGAGAAATTGCAACTATGTTTTCAGGATTTTCTGTTTTTACAACTTTCACCCATGTATTTTCAGCACAATATTCATTCCAAAATGAAAATATATACCATTGCAAATAACTCCACTTTATGCAGATAAACACATTAAGAAATGAGAAAAAAATCAAAATAAATCCAGCATATTACATATACTAGTACATGGTCAATCTGAGTTGGATCCCGTCAACATTTTTTTGGACAACATTAAGGGGAAAAAAACTGCCAATGAATCATTCTTAAACAGTGCTAATAGGGTCAATATATACGTACTCACGGTAGCATAATTTTGACTTTCAAGTTATCCTTTAAAGGTGATAAGAACACTTTTGGTGTAATGTAATGCCTTTTAACCCTTCCCACTATCTACCATGATGTCCATAACACACTTGTATGCGAAACGTCTACTTTAATCAGAGCTGAACAATTGTTTCTTTTTCTTCTTTTCTGGTCCGGTTTTCAAAACTTCCTTTGATTGGGTGTCAGTGTAGAAAATTCCAGTCAAGTGACCCAGAAGGCTCTCCAGCTTCTGGTTCAGTTCCTCTGCGTTCTCACTGCGGTAACCGCTGCCTGCAACTGCAACGTGAATGACAAAAGCTCATTTTTTGTCTTAACACCATAAACGTTTTTTTAAAATCGAAATTATGCAATGAATCGTGAATTTGGCGGTTGGGAAGAAGTTAATTTATATCGTGTGGATTGCTCATTTTAGATGCTCCTACCAAAAGTTTTAATACAATGCTAACGCCATTTAATACACTTTCTTAGAATGGATGAGAAGAGTCTAGTCGACAGCTACATGCATTATTTTCATTTTTTCCTTTCACATACTGGTTTCAGAAATCTCTGGGGACCATCAGCTATATCGATTGCAGGTAAAGAGTAGGCCTGCAGATTAAATGTAACCAATATACCTTCTTCATAATAGACTGAATTCACAGTGTTTTGGTTGGCCCTCTCCCCTCCGACCCCAATGAACGCCTTGAGCCTTTGTACCATGAACTGAACTATTTCATAGTCGTTCGACTGCCGGTCTAGGTCCTGCCGCACCATTGTGAACGCTTCCATGATTATTGACAGGAACATGTTGATCAGGATGAAGGATACCATGACAACGTAACATAGAAAGAAGATGGGCCCAAGGGTTCCATCTGCCTCTGCAACGGCTGAGTAGTCGAATTTGTCTGAAATAAAGCAACACTGGTCACTTTAGTAATGGGTGAATTTTGAATTGGTTCTTGCATGGTAAAGTGTGTGTTATATGGGTCTCGTATGAAAATCTAACATTTCTAGAATTTGTGTCTTTTAACGTTGTGTTAGTTTTCAAAATCCAGAAGAACCAAATAATGAAATGTTAAATGTTGGGAATTTCAGTGTCTGTATTTCAATTTGACTGAAAGAAACCAGTCTTCTTTTCATGCTTATTTTGCATAACTTACATTGTATCTCAGCATATAACTACTTACTCAAAACCATTACCAACAGTGTCTCAGCAACACTGACGACGTTCATGTAGTTCAGCAGCTTTGAACTAAATAGGAGATAGGCACAGCTGACAAACCCCATGAACACTATACAGAACATGGCCATGAAGTACGCCAAGGGCTTAGCTGTCTCGCGGAGTACGTCGGCGAGCATGGAGGTTCGCTTGTTGAACCGCAGCAGTTTGAGGAACTTCAGGTTCGCAAGGAATACGATGAATCCCAGTAAGAAGCTGTAAAGCTGAAAATGTATCAGAATTTTGACATGAGATTTATTATTATTATTATTATTATTATTGAGAATTACAAGCAACCAGCGAATCCCATGTGGACAGTAAAACGCAATTTGTGATACAAGGGCGTATTTCAAATGCCGAATATTTGTCTGTTAAATCCAAATTAAAAAAACTCTTGTTGCATCTTAATGGTTCTTCCTTTTGCTTTGTGTTTCTTGCTAAATATTATCTTTAAAGGTGCTGTAAAGGAATCTTGATTTCGTAAAACATTGAACACGGGGCAGACGGACGGACAGACAGACAGGTACCTCATCCCATAAAACGGCGTACTGCATATTGTGAAATGTGTCTGGATTTTCTCGTATCTCGTCCATCAAGAGAGTTGCAGAAACCAACTTGTACACGAAGATGACGACAGTCACCAAAATGAGACTAACTAGGATGGCTTCTACCACATTCCAGAATCCCTGAAAAAAAAGCCCCAGATAAAACATTGCCCTTAAGAAAAAAAGTGACTTTCGGTATTGTTACAAATGTAAGAATAATGTGCTCAATTCACATTTAACTGCGAAGCAATGAAAATACAACAATCCGTATTCCTCTGACTTGCCTCATGATCACTGGTTTGTGATATAAATCCTGTTTCTTTGTCATAAACAAGTGCCTACCAACATAAAAAAAAAGCCGGGACGCATCAGCGCCGCCACGATCTAACACGATGATATTTCTTAGGTTTTTATCTATTTTTTAATTTTCAACTTTTTACTCACTTCTTTTGTTTCCTACTTTTATTATATTGGAAATCATTTTGCATTAATTCAATTTTTTAAAGATAATGAAAAGAAAAACCCAATAACCCGAGTTATCTTTTAATTACCGTAAAATACTGGCACCGCTCATTACGCAGCTTCTTGAACTCCAAGACAAGGAAATACAGCGTGAAGCAAGCGGTTAGTATTTCAGCGGCCATGATCACGTACATGAAAGGCCCCACGTATCGGTCTAGACGGAAAACGTGGAACCTAGGGTTCGGAAAGGCACCTAGGGAGAAATTGACAAGCGCGCGTGACGTGTGATGATTTTACGTCTTAAGCCTTCATTTCCATTATGTTTGAAATGTACTATGCAAGAATGATGCATTTAGAATGCACGTCTTTTAATTTGATACGGATGAGTTTAATTGGTTTAAATTAAATGTCACAAACAGATGAAAGTGCCAATTTTAAAACATCCTTTTTTCGTGTGTGTGTGTGTGTGTGTGTGTGTGAGAGAGAGAGAGAGAGAGAGAGAGATACCTCCAGTCTCTAGAAACTCGATCACAATCTGCGACACAATGAAGACGTTCTTGTTAGCATTATAAAGTACAAACTCCACAAACACGGCGCGGGTGAAAAGATCGACCCAGCGTTCCTGGAACAGGCGCTCTATGGTTGTCCTGGCCGTTGCTTCAGAGCTTCCGAGATCTGCCACGTAGCCGCCGCCACCATACCAAGTTTTATCGCCCATGAAGGGATAGCTCGCCAGGTCGATCGCACTCTGGAACCCCCAGGCATTAGGCGAGTTTGAGTCCGCTGTAATGATTGGTTTTTCATAATTCAAGTGGATTTCACAACACATATTACGGAAAGGGGATCAAAAATGCGATTTGAATTCGTATCAGGAAATTTTTCATGCAAATTAAAATCCCTTTCGCCCTTAACGCTGTAAATAAATTCACAAATAGCTGAACTCCTTGTTCGAATTTTTTTGTTAGAAAGAGGACGTTTAGTTATACAATTACAATGGATCCGTAGTACCTGAATTGTTCAGAGCACGCCATCCTTCTCCATAGGCCGCTTGGTCCTCGTCCAAGTAGTTGTAAGGTGCACGGCAAGCTGTCACGTAGGGTGCCATTGCCTTGGGGGGCTTACAAGAAACTGAAACAGTACGTAGTTTTAGTAATAATAATGTTGCTAAATCAGACTCATCCCAATTTAGGCAAATTTCGATGTTTTTTAACGTAAAAAAACTTGAAAATAATGTAACTGTTTGTTAAAACAAATAAACAAATGGGATAATAACGCGCTCGAGGACACCATGGAAACCCATCCTTTACAAAAGAATTGTCAGGTCAGCCTAATTCTTATACAAAAAAATATTTACAGCAAAGCTGGCAAATGCACAGAAAATACATACATATTCATATATCATATTTATATATCAGTCACAGGAAATGACTATCCACATACCCGGCTTGATTCTGACTTGGCGAAGACGTGCTGTACCGACCAAGAAGTTTTGCCGATCTGCCACGAATTTTCCAGGGTCTATCTGGCCGTTGTACCACTGTCTTTCGTAAAGAGCTGGGAGTAGAATCTTATCAGTCCACACCCAAAATGATTTTCTGTCTACAACCTGAAATATGAAAAGGAACCGCCCATGAAAAATCCTGTGCGAGAAAAGCTAGAATAAACATGGGATGTTCTCGTCGATATCGACAGTATGATGCATTTAGTAGGGGCCTTTTTACCGACCATCATTCTATCTTGTTTTGACTTGAAAAAATACCAAACGTGCTTTATAAACAAGACCCTTTTCTGCACTCCTCTACGCTAAAAAATTAATGGTCATACCATTTTAAAAAATGATTTAGTGTAACTGAAAATGGTCAGAGGCGCGATGATTGCAAAGTTTGTTTTAGCAACCTCTGAAAATAGAGGCATGAAGAGTTTTAAAGACTACAAAAACATTAAAACCAAAACCCAAAGGCGTTTTGTGTGAAGGGGAGAAATTTACAGGTCCTCAGTTATTGTAACGTAGATTAGTCGGTTTTTTGTTTCAGTTTGAGGAGCACAAATACCCCCTATCTGACAGTAAAATCATCTAAAGGACGTATTTACCTTTTCCATTGAAAATTTCAGATCTTCTGGATAGTTGCTTCTGACGAACGTATTTTCACAGGAATTCTTAAGATGGTAATACACTGGGTCTTGATTGCCATATGCACACATCATAAGCAGGAACAAATACACCATATACAAGACTATCTCGCGAATAACTGCGTGCATCTTCATTTCCTTGAATCTGAAACATGACAGACAGTCATCCTTCTTTATTTCTAGGGGATTTTCTTATTGTTTTAAATTAGCACAAAGACGGACGCATTTGTTTTTAATAATTAGATGCACGAAAAACTCATTTTCGGTATCTGGATGATGATAAAGGCTCACAATACCTTTACGCCGTATAGATATTACATGTAGTACGGTATTGCACATATAATTAACGAGTACCTCAGTAACCTAGCCTCTAAGAGGGCCCCTTCGTCTGGTGGCAGTGGAGCCCTCCTCTTAGAAGTAGTATCCGTTGACAGTGGTGGTACTTTAATATACTCTTCGTCATCTTTTAATTCTGGGTTATCTTCATCTTCATCCTTATCCGGCTTCTTTATAATGATAGCGTAAACCATGGCTAGGATAATCACCTAAAATGAAATAAGAAAAGTTTTCGAGAAAAGGCCAATATTCGCACTTCTGACCTCTTTAAAAAGTTAAGCGAAGATACATTTCCCCGGCCACATTAAGACATTTGACTTAATTTACTACAGCATAAAAAATTAATTCCATTTACAGCGCCAATTTCAGTTAAAAAAATAATCGTTTTATTATGACCTTTCATAACTACAGTAAATATATATATGAGGAAACGAGGCAGTTAATGGACACGTCGACAGGAAATTTTAAATTACCTTAACAGGTTGTAGCATCAAAACAGATTCCACTAATCCCACGATAAGGGACACGAGCCAATCTTTCGACTTCTCCGGTCCAAATGTAAACGCTATCTCTGTGCAGTAGTACAATGACCCACCCACGGACGCAAAGGATAAACCATAGGCGATGAATATCACCCACCACGGAAAATGAAATTTTTTCTTCTCTTTCTTTTCACTGCCCTGAACGAGTGGCGAGCGTGGAGGGTACTTTGGAGAAAGTGGGGCTACGACGTTGATTTGACTGGACCCAACTGGAGTTGTTGTTAATGGCCTTTCCCCCTTTTCACCGTCATCGTTGCCGAGGCAATTCGCCTGCTGTTGGAGCTCTTGAATGTTTTCGGCGTCCTGGTTATCGTGCTGGTTTTCTTGAAGATCGAGGTTACTCTCCGAAACAGAAGGCCTTTTCTTGGGCGTTCTAGGACCAGAGTAGCGGAAAAACGAGACAATTATCAGGTTTATTGGAAAGACAATCAAACTACTGACGACTCCTATGTAGATAGATTGTAGAGTTACGGTCACCGGGCCTAGTCGGATCACTTCTGGCTTTTCAACTTTATCTTCTTGTCCATAAAACATGATATTGGTCGCCATGGTGCAGAAAAGTAGAGACACGCAGCAAGTGAGGCGCTGGACACGGGTGAACCGGCTGCGTGGAGGGCGGTTGACAACTGAGATCCAGATATGACCATCGTACAGATTTCTCCGCGTCTTCGTCCAAAATAGGTGGTCAAAACTGACCAGTTCTACTCTTCCTGCCACTGGAATGATTCTGTCTACCTAAAATAGCATACCAAAGAATGATGATAATTTGCTTTTATATTCAAATACTTAAATTTGCTTACTGCACAAGTTGAAACAATCAGTTAAAAGAATGCTTAGTAAGAAACAAAGCTGCTAAAAGAAATAAAGAAATAAAAAAACAAACCGTAATATGAATTTTTGTAAAGAAGAAGATACCTATTATATTCGTAAACTACCAAGATAAACGTTAATCATTGTTTGCTAAGATTAGACATCCTCTTGTAATTTCAGAAGGAAATTATGTAGTGGCACTTACCATTCCGTCGTCCTCCTCCACTGCCAGCCAGCGATTACATATGAAGTAGTACTTCTCATTAGATTGCAGATCCTCGACCAGCATTCTGCTGAAGTACCACGAGGGGCTGTTGCCATGGTTATCATGCCAAATTCTGTAAATGAGATTATATACCGAGATGTACTAGATGTGTAAAGACAAACTGGCAGTGGGTTGCTATTTCTGCGTCTTATTCCTAAGTCAGTCGTGGTATTTTATAAATTTACAGAAGCAACAGACGCATTAATGCTCTTCATGGTCTTCAACTTGCTCTTACACAATCGTCACTTATTTACAGGATGTTATACTGCGTATATCTTATAGATACTATGAATGTTTTCCATTAGCGATGCACGAAATTACACACACACACACACACACACACACACACACACACACACACACACACATTCCATAACGTTAAATGCCCCATATATCATGCAACTGCAATGATGATTAAATGCACTGCACGTATGTAGTGCACTTGTATTTATTTACCTGAGATGGGACAGTTTACCCAGGGGCTTACTGGTTGTCATTAGGAAAGAATCTATGCTTTCACGTTTTAGAATCTTGCGGTGGACGCAGTGGAATGTTCGTGGATCGGTCTCATTTTGATCTCCTGTCAGGATAAATGAGACATGGGCCGTCGTTCCTAAAATCAACAAACAAACAAACAAAAAAAATATCAGCACTGTAACCGGGGTGACGTTTTTTCTTTTTTCCTTCTCTTTATTTACGTATTTATTATTATTATTATTATTATTATTTTTATTTTTTGGAGGGGGGGGGGGGG